TCTGTGTAATTAGTACATATTACTTGGTGATATAATTTTCAGAGAGTATGTGAAGGCCATTTCTATGTGTTCATTTGCATGTCTATGTACTGTGTGTGGCAAGTCAGTAGGTGTGATTGCTGACTGATTGCCTAATGATGTCATTAGCATGTGGGGTATGCTGACGGCATCATTATGTTGCAGGTTTGTGCAGTGTTGTTATCAGAATACAATATTATTGCCCCAGGAACTGTGTTGAGGGTAAGGGACCTCTAGGATTATTCAGGGGAATTTTCAGTACTTAATGAGAGCAGGCAATTGATGGGTTAATTGCCTGGCTGAGGTATGTGTGTTCACAGTATTCCTTTGCAAGCGGGTGCAAGAAGTAAAAGAGGGAGAGGGGCAGTAATATTAGTATACTTGTGTGTGTTGCACAACCGTGTGTTTTTATTGTGTGGGCAGTGCTTTCATCATGTTGCATGCCATTATAGTGTGACCTATGTAACGCTGGGGTTACTTTGTTCTTTAAGTTATGTTGAGAACTTAAGGATTCAGTGAGTTAATTAAGGGGTAATTAACTGAATAAGGGGTGCACACTTAGTATTGTGGAATGAGTGAGGGCTGTTAAGTGAGAACAGTGTTGAGCTATAATGAGATACGTCTCGGGAGCAATTAATTGTCCATGTGACAGTTAATTGACCACTCTAGCTAATTATGTAATTAGCCTTCTCATCATGAATTCACGTAGTGGGAGAGGTTCTGTCAGAGTCTGTCAGTATTTGTGTTAACGTAATATGCTCGAGACTAATTACCTTTCAGGGGCAATTAGTGGCTCATGTTAATTAGTGGAGTAATTAGCATTGGAGAGCTCCGGTGACTCGGTAAAGCGAGGTCATGGAGCTAGCATAAATCGTTGTATTAATCATATCTTGTCTGAGGATAGTGGATTATTGGCACATCTTGTTAATTAGGGTAATTAACTCCTTTCCCGTGAATTCACAGTGTTTGATGAGACCTGCTTAGGCAGTGCGGAGTGAGACGTATTTATGGATGGTTAATTATCGGTTCTGGTGAGAGTTAATTAATGGCTCAGTAATTAACGGGTTAATTAGGGTAATTAACACTCACTAGTAATTTTTTTGACACAGACTGTGGAGAAGCTACCAAGTTAGGGTAGGCCTAGTTAACGTAACTCAATGGGGATGTAATTAGTGGTCCGTTTGACCTTAATTGAGAATTACTCACTGAATACTTGCAAGGAGTCAAGTGTGTTGTAATATGTTGAGTTATTGTTAACAAGAGAGAGACAAGTGTTGATGATTAACGTAGGGACGTGTAAAGGCAACAGTCACAGGGAAGTTCACGCAGTGGAGGAATTGTCAAGTGAAGACTAACGTAGTGTTAACGATTTAACGAGCTGTCGTTAATTGAGTAATTAACGTAAGGGGTTGACGGTCTGCTGTCATCGGAGTCAATTGCGCTGTAATTAAGCTTCCGTAATTTGTTGGACTGATCAGCTCTGTCTGCGGACAGAGTAATTAAGCACTCGTTGCTAATTAAAGATAATTAGTAATCGCCACTTAGTGAATTCTCCAGGTGTTGATGTTGTTGTTTACACGGAGTATTTGAACATTGTTTGTGATTACCGTAGTACTTTGTTGCTGACTGCTGCGATCAGTCAATTAACGTAATTAATCACTTCAGGCAATTTCTTTTGGTTGTCGTCTGGTGACGAGAGTAGTCATACTAGGGATCTGTGGAGCTGTGTCCCAGAATTCCCGCCTTGCCTGTCGGTGTATCGGGTTACAACAGGGCAACTTCTTAGTGGGAGTTGCCAAGAGTGTTCACACGGGGTTGTGATAGGGGGGAGTCACTGTTAGACTTCCGCCTAGTTACTCCTAGCTCTCCTGGGGGGCGGGAGGACCCCTAAGTTTGTGATTATAGTAGCTGTCAGGGAAACCGTGACACTATTGATTGCCTGCTTGTGTCTTTGTTTCAGTGGATCCTTCATTTGTTTAGTTAGTTTATGTTGTCAGCCCGAAGTGTCAGCAAGATGGAGCCTGCTGTCACTTCTCGAGGGGCTGTTGAATAGCTGTGTTGCAAATGCCACTTGATGTACAATAACGTAACCATTCGCTGTGGTGTAACTTAGTCTGTGATATTTTTCTTTGTTTTGCAATATTGCGTCATCAGTGGGCACACCTGTGTTCAGGTTAGTTCAGTATGCAGCCTCACAGCAAGGGTTGCTACTTAGCTGTTTGTTATCGTGCCACTGGATTGACATTAATGTAACATAAACTCGGTAATGTAGTAGTTAGTCTCTTGTTATTAATAAATTGTTATGTTATAGAAAACAGTCTTTGATGTCAACCCTTCAACCATATTATTCCACCATATTTCTGCATAATAATATTAAATGTTGATGTGATCTTGATAAGGCGGCTGTTCTTGGAAATTCGAATTCCAATTCATAGCGCCACTTCAAATATAAATATTTGATTGTGAGAACCCGTCGGTTACCCTTTATTAGTTTAACGTCCTGTTTAACTAGGAGGAGCCAGCGGCCTATTGTGGACAGGTTTTCACCCTTGGTGGTGGAGGCCTGGCGGTTTGCTCCCGCTTTTCCTTTTTCTACTGGACTCATGCTTAACTGCCGTGAGCAGACTTTAAAACTTGTAGTCCACCTCTTAAGGGAGGTAGGCGTAGAGAAAAATCTCACAGAAGTATTTTTTTAAACTAAAAAGACCTACGGTGTAAAATTGAGAACGAAATAAATCTGTTATATGTTTTGACTAGACAGTTAATGGCTATTGCTGTATTTTGTCTTTTTATGTTATGTTTTACATTGAATAAAAAACACATCAACATTTTTTTTTACTTTCGCGGAATAAACATATCGATGTGAGCCCTCCTTAATCTAGGCAATGTTACAAGGATTTCTCTGCTTATATAACTGACAAGTTTTCCAACTTTCCCAAGGAAAAATTCAGACACTCAGATAAAGCTATGATGAGGGTATGACTTAAGAAATTGACAGGTAATGGATGAGATGGCAGGTGAATAAGAGGGGTGTGGGTGTGGGGCGGGGTATGAGAGATGACTGTTCCTCTAAACGAGCCAGTATAGGCTGGTCCTTTGATGCGGTCATACTAAAGGGTTACAACCTGGAGGAGGCCTGCTGCAGGATTAGTGCATCTCCTGCAGATACCGTGTGCTGTTTTGAGTATAGTCTAACAGAAAATCCTCCGTGGAGCTGCCTACCGAAAGTAACCCATGGTGCAGCCTACCCAATAACCTCATAGCATTTTTATTTAATGCATTATTCCATCTATCTATCTATAAATCCTGCTGAAAATGAGGGTAGGGGTGTGGGAGGGCACGGCTAACCCATTAATGAGGTTGATAACATCGCCGAGCTCGTGTTTAATTAAACTCACGACAGTGATATACATTTCTGTTTCATTATTCTGCCTTGATAACGGTCTAATGCTTCAATTTGTCTTTATACCAAGTAACAAATGAAAAGATGTAGGGAACATGTTCTCTCATTTTATCTGTTCAACGAATAAAAGACAGCAACATAACATTTTAAGAATGAATGGCGTGTTTGTGGAAGCGAGGGGGCGGCCACGTCTAACCGCAAGAAAATGGGGAGCGGGGCTCTGGTACTGATGTTTTTTTTTTTTTTTTTTTTTTTTTTTTTTTTTTTTTTTTTTTTTTTTTTTTTTTTTTTTTTTTTTTTTTTTTTTTTTTTTTTGAGATATATACAAGAGTTGTTACATTCTTGTACAGCCACTAGTACGCGTAGCGTTTCGGGCAAGTCCTTAATCCTACGGTCCCTGGAATACGATCCCCTGACGCGAAGAATCGTTTTTTCATCCAAGTACACATTTTACTGTTGCGTTAAACAGAGGCTACAGTTAAGGAATTGCGCCCAGTAAATTATCTAATTACTATCGCCCCGGCCAGGATACGAACCCATGACATAGCGCTCGCGGAACGCCAGGCGAGTGTCTTACCACTACACCACGGAGACTGTAGTTGATGGTGTTGTTGATGGTGAGCAGCCACGAATGACTCGTGTTAGTCCATTCCAGTTGAAATACTGAAAGTATTTTAAAACTAAAAAAACTAAGTTCCTCTGTTCAAACACACCAACTATTCCATTGAGAAATACTATGTCGGGATCACACACACACGCACACACGATGTTAAACAACTCATAGGTGCAGATTAGATAATGGGCTAATGAGGGTTGAGTGAGGCTGACGCAGTCTGTCACCTCAACGAAAAGGCGAGACCAAGATAGTCTATCATTCATCGTTAAATAGTTCCTCTGATTAATGCTGAGTTGAGATATAAAGAATCTTTTAAACTACGGTTATTTGCAAAGTAAAAACTCAAACTACGATGAAATAAGTGGGTGTTACTAGCAGGAAATTGTAGTGGGGAGTCCAAACCCATGCCCCTTGAAACGGGGGCCTGACAGCTGAGCGGACAGCGCTTCGGGTTCGTAGTCCTTAGGTTCCGGGTTCAATCCCCGCTGGAGGCGGAAACAAATAAGCAGAGTTTCTTTCACCCTGATGCACCTGTTACCTAGAAGTAAATAGGTACCTGGGAGTTAGACAGCTGCTACGGGCTGCTTCCTGGAGATGTGTAACAAACAGGAGGCCTCGTCAAGAACCTGGCCGCGGGCCGCTAAGCCCTGATATCTTCTTGAAGTTATCTCTAAATAACCTCAAGAAGATAACCCATTTGACGTCAAATTAATTGTTATAACTTTTACTGTCAGTCCTTGAGGGTGTGGGAGGGAGGTTTGGAGAACTAACACCGCCATCTGTGAAGGGTGAAATTTGTCTAGTGTTGTGGCGAGTTCAAAATCCCGAAGACGTTATTGTCGCTACCTGAGACGGACGGAGAGAGGTTGCTATGACAAATGACAGATGATTGACTGCCTGTAGGAGAGTCTTAGAGAGCCTATGTGCATACCCCATGTGTTACTTATCATTTCAACAAATCAGTATCTTCACTACCAGAGTGGAAAAGAGTTAAGGCATCTCCTTCACTATCGCCGTTGAGAGAGGGAGGGAGAGGGAGAGAGGGGGAGAGAGAGAGAGAGAGAGAGAGAGAGAGAGAGAGAGAGAGAGAGAGAGAGAGGAGAGAGAGAGAGAGAGAGAGAGAGAGAGAGAGAGAGAGAGAGAGGAGAGAGAGAGAAGAGAGAGAAGAGAGAGAGAGAGAGAGAGAGAGAGAGAGAGAGAGAGAGAGAGAGAGAGAAAGAAGAAAGAGAGAAGAGAGAAAGAGAGAAGAGAGAAAGAGAGAGAGAGAGAGAGAGAGAGAGAGAGAGAGAGAGAGAGAGAGAGGAGAGAGAGAGGAGAGAGAGAGAGAGAGAGAGAGAGAGGGAGAGAGAGGGAGAGAGAGAGAGAGAGAGAGAGAGAGAGAGAGAGAGAGAGAGAGAGAGAGAGAGAGAGAGAGAGAGAGAGAGAGAGAGAGAGAGAGAGAGAGTTTGGGGTGGGGGGAGGGGGGTCATTGTGGTCCGAGAGGATACGTCACACACACCTCAGTATTCTCACGGCATCTGTAGAGTGCAGACACCTGCTCTCCAGACTAAGATTGACTTGAATTAATATCCCGCCATTTACCCCCCTCCTGCTGAAGTGTTTATGTGTCATTGTGTGAGAAACCTCCCCCTTTGTGTTGTGGTTTTGTCGGTGGTGAAGCCATTGGAGGAGGAAATACCCTATCACTCAACACCTCATTGTCAAGTCTACGTATCTGTGTGTAATGATTGTTGGAAGATATGACATAGGAGAGTTGTTTAAGTTATTCTACACTGTGTGTGAGAAAACCCACTCTATGTGTTGTTGTTGATGTACCTCCACTATGGAAGCTAGAAACATCACCTTCAGAGTATTGACATAGGGCAGACCACCCTTTTCCGTAATGTCTGTTTTTTAAACACGAGAGAGAGTGAGGGGCTGGCTGCCGGCGGCGGACAGTTGGGTCCCCCACCTGCCCCACCCCCCTCCACCCATCATCTCACATTACACTAATGCCCTCGTGTGCCACTTCTTTTCCGCTTCCCACGCCGGCCACTCCTGTTCTTAACATGCTCATCTCCAACCCCACATATACTTTGAACTTACCATGCATGAACACCTATGCTCCCATTACATACACGAGAACGGGGAAGAATAAACACACATGAGAGAGGGCGGAGAAGAGAACACTTACATGAGAGAAGGCAGCAGAGAGAACGCTCAAAAGAGTGAGGGCGGGAGAGAGAACACTCACATGAGAAAGGGCGGGAGAGAGAACACTCACCTGAGAAAGGGTGGGAGAGAGAGAACACTCAAATGCGAGAGGGCAGGAGAGAGAACACTCACATGAGAGTGGGCGGGAGAGAGAACACTCACATGAAAGAGGGCGGGAGAGAGAACACTCACATGAAAGAGGGCGGGAGAGAGAACACTCACATGAGAGAGGGTGGGAGAGAGAACACTCACCTGAGAGAGGGTGGGAGAGAGAGCAGGAGAGAGAGAACACTCAAATGCGAGAGGGCAGGAAAGAGAACACTCACTTGAGAGAGGGCGGGAGACAGAACACTCATTTGAGAGAGGGCGGGGAAGAGAAAACACACATCAGGGAGGACAGGGAAGAGAACACTCACACGAGAGAGGGCGGGGAAGAGAACACACACATCAGAGAGGGCAGGGAAGAGAACATTCACACGAGAGAGGGCGGGAGAGAGAACACTCACACGAGAGAGGGCGGGAGAGAGAACACTCACACGAGAGAGGGGCGCTGAGAGAGAACACTCCACACGAGAGAGGCGGGAGAGAGAACACACACATCAGAGAGGGCAGGGAAGAGAACATTCACACGAGAGAGGGCGGGAGAGAGAACACTCACACGAGAGAGGGCGGGAGAGAGAACACTCACACGAGAGAGGGCGGGAGAGAGAACACTCACACGAGAGAGGGCGGGAGAGAGAACACTCACACGAGAGAGGGCGGGAGAGAGAACACTCACACGAGAGAGGGCGGGAGAGAGAACACTCACACGAGAGAGGGCGGGAGAGAGAACACTCACACGAGAGAGGGCGGGGAAGAGAACACACACATCAGAGAGGGCAGGGAAGAGAACATTCACACGAGAGAGGGCGGGAGAGAGAACACTCACACGAGAGCAGGGCGGGAGAGAGAACACTCACACGAGAGAGGGCGGGAGAGAGAACACTCACACGAGAGAGGGCGGGGAAGAGAACACACACATCAGAGAGGGCAGGGAAGAGAACATTCACACGAGAGAGGGCGGGAGAGAGAACACTCACACGAGAGCAGGGCAGAGAAAATACGCACACATGCACGAGAGCCGGGGGGGGGGGTGAAAACACAAAACATCAAATACAATTGTATGAGACCCTTTCCCGCCCACTTCTCATAAACTTACAAGAATTTCTGAACAAAATGAGTGATGCAGAATTTCAACTCACTTTATGCTGCCGTTGCTAATTTGAATCCAAAATGGGCTCCCGATGTTTGAGTCCAGGCGATTAGGCACAGTGTCGTAGACAGGCTTAATGATAAATTTGTATTAGTGCTAAATGACTTGCATTAGATGTGCACACCATTATTCAATTAAACTCTTGATTGATTATGTATAACTCTTAAAATAAAATACTAGAGAATAATAGTTTACTGGTTAAATAAATACTATACATAAAACAAAAACCTTTGCTTTGATGTCCATAGGGAATGGAAAGGATGGGGGAGGTAGAGGGATGGGGAGATGAAATTCAGGAAGAGGATGCGGGTGTAGAGAGAGAGGAGGTTTGAAAGTTCGGTGGCCTGTCCACCATGGGTTGACATTTTTGTATGTGTTGTTTGTTTGCGTGTGTTGTTATGTTGGGTTGTCAGTACATTGGCTGGGGGGTGCTAGTGTTTGTGACCTTGTTGGTGTCCTAAAGCACTAGAGCCGATGGAGTTTGGCTGAAGGAGGTTAATCTTAGAAACATCAGGGTAGTTACACTTCTGACGCCACGACAATGGTTTTTTTGGTTTTATA